CTACTTGGGATGACATCTTACGTCAAAACGTAGATACTTCTACAGCTCAACGAGAACATGATCCTAGATAGGAAAGCATAGAGGTAGAGGGTTAGTAGATAGATGAGTGATTCCTCTTTTTCGTGAGGGAGAACATGGTTGTACTGATCAGTATCATCTATATTATTCTATTATTATATTACGACTACTGTTTATTTTACTCGAGTTATTTGTACTAACTTTGTTATCGATACTTCCCTTTCTTCAGTATTTTTCGTCGTAGCTTTTACTCTTGTATTTGTCAAACCTGTTTTCAAAAACACTTTTCTTGAGCTTAGAGTTTATCAGAAACAACATTTCTACCTCTCCCGAGACCCCAGAATTACACTTAACGTTTATCAATTGTTAATCTGAGTGTTTTCTGTTTTTGACAGGCAAGGAGGAGTTTCAGAGCTTTGAGGGGTTTAGTAAGGCTTCAAGGAGTTGTGAGAAGTAGTAATGTAAAAAAGCAAACAGCAAATGCCATGAAACAGATGCAACTTCTTGTTAGAGTCCAAACTCAAATTCAGTCGAGGAGGATCCAAATGTTGGAAAACCAAGCACTTCAACACCAAGCATACAAAAACGACAAGGATGTCGAGAGCACCATCAGTAAATGGACTCAACTGGTATGTTAGAACCATCCTCATGAAGTTACATTCCTATTTTAGTGGTTTATAAAAAGTCGTCATTTCCAAAACGATATATAGTTGTTGATGTTTGATGAACAATGTTGGTATAGTGTGAGGCAGGTAACAATGATAATTGGGATGATAGTTTGCTGACTAAAGAAGAAGTAGAAGGAAGGCTGAGGAAAAAAGTGGAAGCAGTCATCAAAAGGGAGAGAGCAATGGCATATGCATATTCTCACCGGGTACAATAAACACCTCTATCTTTAACGGATTCAACGTTTAAAGTTTTTACTATATATATCTATGCTCTGTGTTGAAAGTTCATTTGGTCCATCGAGTTTTTAGCTAATCTTACCTCTTTTATCAGCTATGGAAAAATGATCCAAAATCGGGTTTGGATATGGGAGCTAACGGTTTTCCATGGTGGTGGAATTGGTTAGAACGTCAACTACCTTCAAGAAACGCCAACAAAACTCCATCTGCTATGAAAGATATCAAACTAACACCACCAAGGGCAATCTCAGAGCACAAACCAAGTCCAACGCCTCTAAACAACGTTACTTTCAGACGTATACTCTCAGATTATGACAACAATGAATCATCAGTTACACCAATGTCAACCAAGTCAGCAATTCCAATGAGGGGAAAACAGATGCATACACCAATTAGAACACCACCAATGAACAACTCAAGTCTAAAGAAGTACTCGAGAGGTCGAGCTAGTGCTTCTAACTACCCTTTTGATCTTCCATTAAAAGACGATGATAGCCTCACGAGCTGTCCACCGTTTTCAGTACCACATTACATGTCACAAACAGCATCAGCTACAGCTAAAGCTAAAGCCAGAGCAAATAGCAATCCCAAGGAGAGAAATCCAGAAAAACAATCCAATGACACAAAGAAAAGATTTTCATTTCCTTTGACTCCAAATATATGGTCATCTAAGTGGAGTAAAGGGTCTGGAAAGGATTCTGCTTCACGAAAAGAAGTCGATAAACACGAGTCCATGGCTGATCATATAAGTGTGGATTCAACTGTTTCGATGCCCGCGGTTGTTGGTGGGAGAAGACCATTTAACAGATTTGTGTGATTGTTTGTTCCTTTGTATGTTACCCTATTAACTTGTGGAGTTCATTTTGTATGTTTTTTTGTTATTCTATTTGTTGTTATATGAGTGCATGAAGTGTTGTATGGTGTTACATAGAATTGATGTATAATAATGAAAAAACCATAAGAACATTTTACTATGATTTCAATACTTAGGTCCAAACTATCAGGTTTTAAATATGTCATTTATCGATACATAGTTTTTTACTTGAAGGTCAATTATTTAAATTTTTATCGATAAATTCCTTTTATAAGTGGTTAAGAGATCTGATTTCTACTTTGTATGTTCAATCGGATCCATTACTTCTTGTTTCGAATCTTGTTTTAAGAAAAGTTGTATTTGACGATAGAAAAATTTTAGACCAAAATATTAATTAAAAAACATTTTTGTTCAATTTTACCTAATTTAAGTGCATTCTTTATCCTTTTCCAATTTGTGGGTACAGAAATAACCTATGAATAAGAACTGGTTGATTATGGGAAAGAGTCTCACTAACCACTTCTTCAAATTGATAGTTACAAGCTCCCTTTAATTTAACACTTTATTAAATACACATTTAAACTAGGGATAATGCATAAATTTCCCCTCTAACTTGTACACCTTTTCTTAATTAAAATGCAATTGATAGAGCAATTTTCTCATATAGCAAACATAAAATTCATATTTGTATGTTATAACAAAGTCTACATAATTGCACTCCATAACAAACATATAGATGTATAATTCATTATATATATATACAATTGAAGCGAATTGTATAAAACGAAGTGTGTAAAACGAGAAAGAGAAAGAGACTTGGATAGAGAATTGTATAAAACGAGAAAGAGAAAGAAACTTGGGCAGAGAATTAAATAAAACGAAGTGCATAAAACGAAGTATATAAAAATATTGTATAATTATAAGTGTATAAGACGATTATATACAATTTGAATGTGTATAAAACGAGAAAAAGAGAAAGGCAAAAAAGACTTTGGCATGGTATATACAATAAAATCGAATTGTATAAAACGAGAAAGAGAGAATTATATACAATTTGAATTTGTATAAAATGAGATGAGAGAAAGACAAAAGAGACTTGGGTAGGGAAGTATTTTTATTATATAATTATAAGTCTATATGACGGATATATATGTATTTGCATATGTATATACAATTTTCTCTCGCTTTATACAATTAGAAACACAATTTATACATTTCTATTGTATAAAGCGAGAGAGGCGAGCGTAGGAAGCGAGCGAGAGAGGTAGAGTGGTGAGCGAGAATATGAGGGAAAGAGCGACTGACAAACAGTTTGTTATGGAACACAAATAATAAAAAGATAGCTATTATATTTATTTTTTATATTATTGGTTTGTCCATCTATACATATCCCTACAAAACTGACATCAAAATAAAATTAAAATTAGAGATAAATTAAGCGCGTTTGAGATGAAAATAAAGTCAAAAAGTAATTTTTTTAACCTCCATCGCCCTGTTTTCTTCTTTCCCATCCTCCTCTTCTATTAGTTCCTTTAAAAAATTTCTTCCTCATTTTTTTCTTCGCACAGTTAACAATTTATCACTCAATTTCAATTCTTCTTATCACATTTTTTTTTTTACTTTTTTCACTCAATTTCATCAATATACTTAAAAAAAAGTAATTTTTTAAACTTAAATTTCACAATAATTCTAGGAATTCGACTTTGTTCACCTAACTTTTCCACTTTCTCCTTCAAATTTAACTAAAATGCCATGGATCTGAAAAACATCTTCTATACTCAAGTTGAGGTGGAAACTCATTAATATGAAGCTCATGGATCTTAAATATGCCATAGCTTGGAACGCGATGAATTTGAGAAATGAAGCTCAGTAAAACGTCATTAGATCCATTGTTGAAGCTCAACATAAAATAAAAGCAAAAAAATCAAAAGGTGGTACGGTAAGGGGTTTGATTCGGTGTTTGCCAATGACTGATTTGGAGTTTAGGTGGCTGTTTGTGGTGACTAAGGTAGTTGTTTAGTGGTTGTTCTTCGTCAGAGATGGTTTGACAGTTGGGAAAAGAGGAGGGAATAACATTAAGGAGGTAAGTTTGTGGTGGCAATGAGTTGATTGTTCTTCGTCGGAGACAAAAGAGAATTGTGATATGAATTCACATAAATAATTTTTCTAGTCAGATTAGAGATAAAAGTGAATATGATATAAATTGGAAGAGAATATGATTATTACAAATTTTTAATAATTCGTTAGGAATTAATAAGTGTAAAATAGAGTTAATAAAAAAATTAATCAATAAAGAAAAAGTTATAATTTCTAACGTGGTATTGACGTGACAGTGATGTTATACTTGTGTGGTAGTGACTGTAACACATTGCATATTGTGAGAGTAGTGCTATGGTCTGAAGGTGATATAAATTCACTTTTAAATAGTAAATATGCGTAATAGATTGTCACAATAGTTAAAGCGTAAAATTAATTTTTCGATACAAGTTTGAGGAGGGATTAACAATCCTAATTAATCCTCAAACATAGTATATCTCAACTTTGGTCATTATTTCAACAAAACTTAAAAAATTTCAAATTTCTAAAGGATGAAGCTTTTGCTTTATAATAATAGCCTCAATTCAAATCCATAATTTATTCTTTATTTCAAAAGTATTTACATCTTTTGCGATATTTCTTTACTTTAAAGCTAATTATTTGGTTGATAAAGTGCCAAAGTACATTCATTTATTCATTTTGTAAGTTCTTCCACTGTTTTTCCTTTTCCTTTAATTAAACGGTATCTTCCTCCTTTGCGAAATTAAATTTATATTTCTCGCCTTTCATCCACCACAAGTTTAAAAATTTACGGCCAAAGAAATCTCCATGTGAATTCATGCTTCCCTTCGAGATATCATATATAATAATATTATATTTTATAAAAATATTAAAATATATATGTGTAACACAACACTCGAAATATCCCATAAATGCTAATAATTGGATACACTTCTCTACATGAGTTAAAAAATTGAATTTTATACTTATCTTGTGTTATTTTTCTTGCTAAAATTAGATAACACTTCTTTAGTTGTACACTCTGTTCCTAATTACTTGTCTACTTTTTTTTTAATGGATTAATTTTTTTTACTTATTAGACTTTCAATTAATCACTTTAAAATGTTTAAATTTTTAATTCACCCACTTCTTAATAGAAGTAAGTAAAATGATAAAATCATAAAATAGAAGAAAATGAATGATGTAGAAAACAAAAAAAAGGGTAAAATTTAGCGATTTGTTCGAGGCCGTAATCAAAATGAGTAATATTTGAAAGGCACGGAGAATCGCTTATTGGTTTTGCCAACCTTCAATGCAAGTATTCATCATTCTTTGATTGACGCACTTGCTCTGCTAATTGGCTTTTTTTGCATCATATTTATAATATATAACACAAACAAATTCAAAAACAAATTACTAACAATCTACGAATATTTGATAAGTGAAAGGAAATGATCAAGTGTTGGATTTTAAAGGGCATGAAAAACTGAAAACGTAACCCTAGTTCGAAATGGGCCTACACTTGTCAAGTTAAAAAGCCCAAGTGTGTGTAGTATATATAGCCCACCGGTATTATTCTGTTTTCGGGAATTACGCCTAACGACCTTAGAAATAGATGATCTTAGAACGTTTGATATATGAAAAAATTGTATATAATAGCAAATTAATAATTTAAAATAAATGGAATAGTTAGGGTTCGATTTAATTTTGCTCCATAGCAAACGTTTGTGTAAAAATTGTCAGGCACCTCTCTCCCAAATATCTCGCTCGCCACTCTCCTCCAATCTCTCGCTCGCTTCCTCACTTTTTATACAAACACAAATGTATAAAAATTGTTTCTAATTGTATAAAACAGAGAAAATTTAATAAATACATATATTTTTGTTCCTCTCTTCCAGATCTCGCTCGTCACTCTCCCAAATCTCGCTCGCCAACCTCTCCTTTCTCACTTGTACAAACAAAAGCGAAATATATAAATTGTGTTTATGTTTGTATAAAGCGTGGGAAAATTGTATATACACATGCAAGTACATATATTTTCATCCTAACACTTATAATTATACAATAAAAATACCCATCTGCCCAGTTTCTTGTGTCTTTCTCTCTTTCTCGTTTTATACAATTTTCAAATTGTATCTAATTTCTCCCTTTCTCGTTTTATACAATTCGATTCAATTGTATATTCCTTGTCAAGTCTCTTTTGTCTTTCTCTCTTTCTCATTTTATACAAATTCAAATTGTATATAATCGTTCTATACACTTATAATAATACAATTCGTTTTATACACTTCGTTTTTATACAGTTCTCTGTCCAAGTGTCTTCCAAACTTTGCCATAGCGTATAAATATGAATTTTTCATTTGCTATATGTGAAAGTTGCCCTTGATATATTGATAAACATTGATGGACGAATGTCAAAATTCATATATATCTTATCACTATCTCGTGAAAATAGAGAGATTGTTTTTGAAAACCCTTGGACTAAAGGTGAGATTAGAAAAGCAGAATAAAATCTACGAGAGAAAAAGAATAACAACAAAAAGTTGGGATAGTCGATATGTGCTTGCTTAGACTTACTATTTAACCCTCACTATCCAGCAAGCTCCAGCTCAAAAACAATTTAGTCTCTTTTCTAGTACTCAAGCAAAAACTTGTTTAAATTATAACAATTTTAAAGTCTATTTGTGTATCAGGTATAATTTTAGTTTTTTATATATAAAAAATATAGGCTATGTATGCATGAGGTTTTCATTGGCGAGTGGTTTTCTAAAATTATTTTCTGCTAATTTATAGATATTAAGTTTTACGTGAAAATGTTCTCCACCTGATGAATATTGATTACTTTGTAGAGGTAAATTTTACCTTAATTTTTGAACTTTTATAATACTGTTACTAAGTATTTTCCAACTAAAAAGTACAAGTGTAAAAAGTTTGTACAGAAATTTGAGAGACCAAATGCATAATGAGTTAGACATCTAAGTTTTTCTTTTGAATTATTCACGCGCAAACCACATAGGAGAGGTAATCAGCACTAGGCAAGTCCAACTCGACCCAGAAGGCAAACCCCTTGCCAACACTGGCAATGAATTTCGAACTTGAGAGACTTCCAACATAAAAGTCTCAGGCCCAAACCCGAAAGGTGAATCAAAGGGTTTTTTAATGTATGTATGTCTGTCTATACATTCCTAAACCAAAATTTGACATAAAAATGTGCTCTCCCAGTTCATCTAACCATACACGGTTCCTCACTCTCAGCCTCGTGAATGATTGTGTGCTATCTTGCAAGCATCATTTAAGGTACACCGCGAGGCAGTGTTGATTCAAAAGAAGTTCCCAGTAGCCGAATTTGTGTCACCAACATCTCCTCACTTCACTACTTTAAGACTGTATCGATGAAGAGTGAAGATGCATAATTTTACAGAGAACACTTACCTTTGTCATATCCAATGTAGGACTTGATGCCAATGAACACCTCAACCTCAGACCATCGGCTTTGCAACTGCAGAGTGCAGAGTTTGAACCGAACAACACTGACAGAAACAGCTTCTTCAGCTTGTTGAGAAAGAAGCAGACTCAAACATGTATATCTAAGTTTGTGCATAAAACTTGTTGTCCCCTCCAAACCACCTCTCCAGTCAATTAGCAAAAAACCCTTTCTCTCCTCTTCTGATTATCCTTCGGTCCACCTGGAAGTCAATATATAAGCTAAAAAACATACTCCACAGATTACAGCTTCCTTGTTGCCTGACAGTGCAGAAACATATAACTGACCACTTCTTCACTTCCTTCTCTGCAATTCTGACTATGTTAGACAAGCTTCATGTCCGGTAATCCAACAAAATCTGGCTTGGCGAAACTACCTTCAGTAATTTCCTAATTTAGAGGCAAAGGTAAAAGAGTGACTTGTTTAAGGCCTGTTAAAAAAGAGAGCTTTTTCCATCATCTCTTGATCAATCAGGATCAGCTCCAGCTAACTTCAAATTGGCGGAAAAGGAGAAAGATGGAAGAAGTCCATCTCTTTAACTTCTTGATCCATTTGGTTCAAGAGAAATAGGAAAGTGTTTTTTTGAAGAAAAAAAAGGGTAATCTTAAGTTATTTAAGACTTCTTTTCGAGTTTTTGACCAAAATCATCCCTATTGTTTACCCTAATTTCATGACATCCTTACATTATCTATCCCGCTTAACTGGCGACATCCTTTAAGTTTCCCAAACTTAACCAAAACTTACCCTTACTTCGTCATGTACTTTTATTTCCTTGTGAATTTTCATACAAGCTAGCTCCTTAAAGAGCAGAACCAATAAATGTTGATCGACATAAAAAATTCTCATCTTCATGACGGTGGAGAAATTAGGTAAATGCTTTCAGCTAGTGAAGATTATATACTTTGCATATGCAGATATCGTTCTGGTGTTCAAAAGTTTTAATGTTGTATTTGTCTTCTTTTAAAAGAGTGATCAATCCCAATTCTGCTCAACCCCAAAATGACGTCAATTGCTACAGAGTTGAAGCCAATGCATCATCTCGACTATTCAAGATAGATGAAGCAGAATTCTCTGTGTGTATATCAAAACTCCTGCCAGTAATCCATCAACTCTTCCACCTTTTAGTAAAAAAGAGTGTCATCAAAGGTACCAGTCCTCTACTTTGGGTTAAAAAACTCAGCAAAAGAATGAAAATTGTCATTTGGCATTTTGGCCCTCATGGTTTGTAACAACAACAAAGCATTTAAGCCTTATATGCGGTTAGAAGGTCTACATACGAGCACATGGGGTCCAATCGGAAAATAGCCATGTCTAATGGAGATGAAACAGTGATAATACTGAAACACAGAACAAAGAAAAAAAAGAGCAAATTGAGTAATCACTAATATTTCATAGACCAATTCCTCAATTGAGCTAATATCTATATCACAATAATTGAACCATACACGAGTTTAAAACAATGCTTTTCTTATCACTCCACAATGGTCTACTATATGAGTGATAGAAGAATCATACCGACAATGGAGAAATACGATCCCCAAGAATTCCAAAAGAAAGATTAGATCCTTCAATCATCCAATTATGCCTTCACCTCGACTTGCTTTGGTCCTAGTTCAGGGAGCAGGAAACCAAGACCATCCTTAGGTTTAGCTTCCAAAGAAGCTTCCTTTCCATTTTGATACAATGGATTCGCTGTCAAAATTCTCAACCCTTTATACCTATCAATCTCTAAAACCTCCGGCAATCCATTAGTACATCCCTTTGACATTCCTACATCAATCCTTATAGCTTGGTTACCACAAACTCCATTTATCCCACTTTCTTGGATCGTATGTCCCATTATCATCCTCTTCGCTCCGGGAATGGTAGCAAGCACATGTTCAAGAGTAGAACAATCACAATCCTTCGCTAACTCATTCGAAAACCTCCTCAACCAAACAATAGAATCCTTTCCCCTCACTAAATCCCTTGAAACTCTTCCCTTCAATCCACAAATCCAATCCCTCACTTCCTCATTCACATTCTCGAATCCATAATCCACATGTTTAGGCAAAAGCCCACCATGTACAAACACGGAATCGCCAACCACAACAACTGTTTGATTTTTCGATAGAAACCTCTCTGAAATAGGTCCCTTTGGCCTTAATGCTGCAATACGGATTCTAATCCCTTCAAAATACTCCGGTCTAACACCGCGAAATTCTAAAGGAATCCCTTCAAAAAGATCTTTAAAACACCCTTTTTCACCCAACCCATTACACAACTTTTTCATATCAATACCTACAGAATACCACATAGCCCAATCTTGAAATTCTTTAAGGCCCTCTTTAGTAACATACCTAAAATCACCATCAACATTCATAATTTCATGATTACCATTCATAGTTATTAAATTGCCATTTACCTTTGCAGCTTCCCTTTTCAATTTTTCAAGAAAATAAAGAATTTTCAACTCTTCACCACCACGGTCTAGCACATCACCTATTTGTACAACTGTCGTTGACCCACCACACCATTTATCATGATCATCAATTAAGCCAGCAAGTTTGAAGGATTCTTTGGATTTTTGAAAATCACCATGGATATCACCTATAGCAATTAAACGAGTCGGAGAAGGGAAGATTGTTTGTAATGGATTTTGGGGTTTTGGGGTTATTGACGGCGGTAAGAAAATACCACCGCTGACAGAGAAATCGACGAATGTGTCAACGAAAGAGGAGAAGATTGTAGGGAGATTTTGGCATGTTAGATTCGCTTGTGACTCCATTTTTGCATATGATGGTGAACAAAGTGAAGGTTTTTTTTGTTTTGTTACAAATAGAGGTTTTGTAAGATGACTTTGACTTTTGGTTGACCTAAATACTCTCTTTAGTGAATTTTTGTTTGATTAATATATATATGAAAAACTACACAACATACTTAACCATCATATACATATTTCACCTAAAGTTTAAGAAAATATTACTCATCATTAAGGCTGGCAAACGGACAGGACCGGGTCAATAGGATCGGTTTTATCGGTAACCGGACTGATACCAGATTTTTCTTACCGAATTTTCTTATTGGTATCGGATTTTACCGGACTGGTTTTACCGAAAAATCACCCTGTTCCACCCGGTCCGTTAGTAACCGATTTGGAACCGGATCTTACCGGTTCATCCGGTATTTTTTTTTA